CAAGGTGTGCACGGGCAAGCTCCAGAAAAATTCAATTTCCGAGAACCGGGAGATTGGACAACATGGAAAAGAAGGTTTGAAAGGTATCTAGCGGTAACTGGGCTTAATACCAAGCCAGACAAAGATAAAATCGACATATTGATTTATATCATGGGGCCAGAAAGCGAAAATATTATTTTTTGCAGTTCCAAAATCCAGCAAATATATTTCAGGAAACACTGGTTGGGTTCGATCATTACTTTTTTCCCAAGAAAAATGTAGTTTTTGAAAGGGCTCGTTTCAACAGGAGAAGGCAGCAGCCCAGGGAACCAGTGGAATCTTTCATTACAGATTTGCATGTTTTATCGGAACACTGTGAATTTGTTTGTACTTGTGGCTCTACGAACCATGAAAAACGATTTTATAAGAGATCGAATTGTTGATGGTATTCTAGATCAGAATCTCAGCGACAGATTGCAGCTAAAATCAGATTTAAAATTAGAAGACGCAATTTTGGAGGCCATGCAGGCGGAAATGCTTTCACGACAAAGTAACATTCTAAGGAAAGGTGAAGGCATGGGGAAAGAGGTCTGCGCTTTGGACAAGAAAAAATATCGAACCAGCAAAGGCGGCAGCGGAAAGACAGCCGGACGGGCACAGAACAAAAAAGTGACAGGATGCTATTTCTGTGGCAAGGAATTTCACTCACGGGAAAAATATCCAGCTCGGAAGGCAACCTGTTCACATTGTAAGAAGATTGGACATTAGGCAAAGGTTTGCAAAAACAAAAACGTGAGAGCAGTGGAGAAAGAATCTGAGGAATCAAATTCCGAATAAGAAAACAACAACAAAGATGGATTTATAGGATTAATGGTAGGATCTAACCAAAATTCAGACTCAATGTCACAATGGTTTTGTAGGCTAGAAATTGAAGGGTTTTCAAATAAAATTAAGTTTTTGGTAGACTCGGGAGCCGATGTGACTTGCATGCCAGTAAATCTTATTCAATTCAAGGGAGAAATTGAAATTCAAATTAAGGAGGGAGCAAAACCGTTTGTTCAGGCAGCTCCTAGGGTAGTACCTTGGCCACTTTTACCCAAATTAGAATCCGAACCTAAACGACTTCAGTCTTTGGGCATAATTTTACGATTTGACGAACCAACTGCATGGGTTTCGCCCATTGTTGTGTTGCGATTATAGAAGACTAAAGGAAAGCGTTTTGAGATCGCATTTTCCAATCGATAAAGTCTACCTACTTTAGCTAAATTGGCAGGATCACGCTATTTTTCTAAATTAGATGCAAATAATGGGATTTATCAAATCAAAATTAAAAGAGAGTGCCAAGTTTTAACAACTTTCATTACACCTTTTGGTAAATTCAAATATACTCGTTTACCTTTCGGAATTAGTTGCGCTCCTGAATATTTTAGCTTGAAATTTAACAAAATTTTATCGGGAATAAAAGGAGTTCTTCAGCATATCGACGATATTTGGATTTATGCGAGTACAATGGCAGAACACGATAAGATATTGAGACAGATCTTGACAAAGCTTGCTAGCGAGGGAGTTGCGTTGAATAAAAGTAAATGTTTCTTTGGGGTTTCAAGAATCAATTTTTTGGGTCACTGGATTTCTGAAAAAGGAATAGAAATTGAACATTCTAGAGTGGAAGCTATTTCAAAATTTCCTGAACCAACTTGCAAACGTGAATTACAACAATGGCTGGGGATGGTCAATTTGGCAGGTAGATTCATTGCAAATAAATCGGAAATTTTAGCTCTTTTAATTCAAAAAGAGGCTTTTCATAAAATAATATCTCTAATGAAAACAGGCACCTTGTTTAGCTTTTTATGATCCAAATAAAAAGATAATAGTCAGTTCAGATTCAAGTTCATATGGCTTAGGTGCAGCACTTTTTCAGGCGGACGACTCGGGAAACAAAAAATTTGTGGCATATGCATCCAGAAGTCTTACGCAGAGTGAGGAACGCTATGCGCAAATTGAAAAAGAATGCTTGGGATTAACTTGGGCATGTGAGAAATTTAGGGAGTATATTTTGGGACTTCAAAAATATATTTAGAAACAGACCACAAACCGTTAATTCAAATTTTGTCCACAAAAAATTTACACGATCTAAACCCCCCTATTACAGCGTTTCAGGATTCGATTAATGCGATATACTTATACTGTTGCCTGATGCGTTAAGTCGCAATCCTCTGCAGTATACCGAACCAGATGAGTTGCGAAGTGAAGTCGAGACACATGTTTCTATGATAATAAAAAATTTACCAATTAAAGACAAATTTTTAAAACTTATCGCGGAGGAACAAAGGCAAGATCCAGATTGTAAAAAATTGATCGAGTACTCCTCTACGAGTTGGCCTGAAAAACATCAACCCGATTTGACATTTGACATTTCCATGAATGAAAATTTCTTACTCAAGGGTACGCGTATAATCATTCCACCCACACTGCAAAAACAAGTTTTGGATTTTATTCATCTAGTACATCAGGGCATAACGAAATGCAGAGAGAGAGCCAAAATGAGTGTTTGGTGGGTAGGCCTTTCTACACAAATCGAAATTTTAGTAAAAAATTGTCCAAATTGCATTGAAGAGAGAAGTAATATTAAAGACCCTTTCAAAAAGATACAAATGTCGCGACTAGACCCTGACAAAAAAATTGTGTTGATCTGTATAAATGTCACGAAGTTTGGTATTTAATAATAACAGATTATTATTCTTGCTTTTTTGAAATTAGTACTCTTGCAAAAAATATGTCTTCACGAATAATAATTGGCAATATGAAAGAGGTTTTTGCTCGCTATGGGATTGCTGAAGAGGTGCGAAGTGACGATGGTCCTCAATTTTCGAACGAATTTAAAGAGTTTGCTAATAAATATAATTTTAAACATATCACTTCGAGCCCTCGGTACCCACAATCCAATGGAAAAGTCGAGTCTACTGTGAAAATTGCAAAAAATCTCAATAAGAAAAATAAAAATTATTTTTTAGAAGCTTTGCTTTCATATAGATGTACTCCTCGTGGAAATGGTTTTACACCGGGAGAACTTTTAATGTCCGATGTTACCAAGCAAATATGAAAAATTAATTGACACCCGATCATCCATTGAATTGGGGGAGGAAAGAAAGAGAAAAGTAAAGGAAAATTATGATAAGAGACATAGAGTTAAGGAATTATCTTAACTCATTCCTGGTGATGGTGTCTGGATTACGGACCTAAAAAAATAAGGGAAAATAATTAAAAAATTGGATGAACCGAAATCTTATTTGATCCAAATAGATCAAGGCCAATTTAGGCGAAATCGATGGCACCTTCTTTTGGCGCCATATGTACAGTTTCAAAACTTTAATAAAAAACCGGTCCAGGTACCAACGCCAGAAACATCTAAAAGTGATGCGGAAGTTTGTGTTTCATCGCAGCCCGAAAATGAAGCTAGTGCGGTGTCGGAAACTAAAACAGAACAAAGTGCGCCCATAGAACGTTAGTTTTGGTCCATTGTGCTAACAGAAAAAGCCTGCATGGCTAAAAGACTAATATAATGTTATTTCATTTAAAAGAGGAAAGATGTTGCATCAGGGTTGTTCGATTGTCTGTGGTGTTCATATTCTATGGTATTGAGAGGTTAGAATGTGGGACTCTCGGCCTGGTATCTCGCGCGCTTATGTCCGAACCTCATGACGCAGTTCTCTTATTATAAAAAGCCTCCAATACGACAGTCTGTTCAATATACGCGAGCGTGAGATTTGAAATTTCGTTTTAATCAATGGCAGCTGTTCTGGCTTCCAACAACCAACATAGCCGATAGTAGGTCATCAATGTTTGGATGCTGCATTTTTACGGCAGTATTTTCTCAAAATATGTGGAAATTCCATTAAATTTTCAGGCACAAAAGGAATTAAGCTCTAGGAAGTGTTGTTAAGAAAATTAGGGACAAGCGCAGCGTTAATATTATGTAGAATTACAGCACACGGATGGGCGCCCTTCTGCAAGTATTTTGGCGTTTGCTGTTGGTTGTTCAATGCCGCAAGGTCATTTGTTGGTAATCGTTAAACGAACCAATAAAATATATGGTCGGAGGAACGAATGCAGACTAGGGTCTAGTTAAGAAGGTTAGGTTATGTTAAGGCCCCCACAGATGTTCTTTTTTAGCAATTTTGCCCGCACGGTTAAAACGGTGCGGATAAGTTGATCAGTGTGTAGCCAAAAACTGTCCTTTTTGCTGGCGTTCAAAAATATCTGCCACTGCTTGATTTTAACCGTCCGTTTTAAACGCGTTCGTTCAAGTATGTCAGTGTGTGGTGAGAAAACAGTTAAGGACAGTTTTTATCAGTGTCACAGCAATAATTAATGTTAGTTTTGAGTAGTGATTTTAAAATTGTATTGTTGAATAAAAATATATTGCTGTAGTTTTTACAATTACTGACTTAAGAAATTACAACAAGCAATTTATAATTGAGTTCATAGAACTGTGCCTGTGGAAGGTTAAATCTACGGAGTATTCTGATAGAGATAAAAAAATAAAGCTTACGAAGATATGATAAAAAAGTCACAAGAAGTAGATAACTCGGCAACAAGAGATTCCGTGAAAAAGAGAATTGACCCTTTACGTGGCTGCTTCCGTAAGGAATTGAAAAGTCATTCAATCTAAGAAATCTGGTTCCGGTACTGAAGACATCTATAAACCACACTTGTGTTACAGGCCAAGAAACAACGAGGAGCACAGTTATTAATATTGGTGACGAAGCAAATAGCAATGAGATAAGTATTACAAAAGGTTCTATTAAATGTTGAAAATTCCAAAATAAAATTACCGATCAAAAAGGCACCTAATTTTATAAATAACAAGCCATGTCGCCATTTAAAGAACCTTGTTCAAGCATATTTGAACCTGTTTAGGCACTTTTTTCATCGAAGTATTTATTTAAGCGATTTTAAAGATATTTAAAAATTACAGTTCTTTTTACTAATATATATATTTTTTCATGATAAATATGCGATTACAAATTTATTTTAAGATGATTGAGGCAAAGTTTTGTTGCCAGGGTACTGATCCCTCATTATGAAAGTAAGTCATAAATAAATTACGCACTCTTTTTGCTTCTTCAGATGCATGTCTGTTGTGTCCACGTTGTAAATTATCAAATGCCTGTTCCGCATTTAAACCACTTTCAATGAGTCCCGTGTTGTGATCTTCTGAATAAAAACAAGTTGAGGGTGCGTAATTTTCATGGCGCATCCTAATCAGAAAGTTATGTAGAATGCAGCAAGTCATAACGATTTTACCAATATTTTCTATTTCTAAAATAATTGCAGTGTGGACGATTCTGAATCTGTCCACCATTATTCCAAATGCATTTTCTATTACCCGGCGTGCTCTGGATAGCCTATAATTGAATACTCTTCTTTCTCTATTCAATTATTTTTGGCTGAATGGTTTTAAAAAATTATTTCTTAGTGAGAAAGCATCATCGCCAATGAAGACGTAGGGCAATGTTTCATTACCATTATTTGTTTTACAGGGATTTGGTAATTTAAAAGTTCCGCTTATAAGCTTTTCATAGAATAGAGTGTTTTCTACAACGCCACCATCATATACTCATCCGTTTGTGCAACAATCGCACATGATGAATTCATAATTCGCATTGGCGATCGCCATTAATACGATACTGTGTCTGCCTTTATAATTCCAATAAAAAGAACGGCTGTTATGAGGTGGCATTATATGTATGTGCTTGCCATCTACGGCTCCTAAGCAATGAAGAAAGTTCCACTTTTGTTCGTATGTTTGGGCTATGGTTTGCCAATCCTCTTCGGTACTGGGAAACTGAAATAAAAAGCCTAATCAATATACTATTTTAGTGATTCAAAGTAAGGTATTTTAACATAATGCTTTTCCCTTCTAGGATGGACCTAACTACACTCCCATGCAATCCCTGACATCTCCTTTTGAAATTGATGTTGCAGATCGATCGCAGTCGGTATCTTCCAATACTACTTCAGCACCGAGCTTAGTAAGGTCTTCCAATAGCATAAAAAAGCGGCGCATTAAGGAGAGAGCTGACGAAGTTTTGGAAAAAGTAAATGCAAAACTCGATATGCATGAGCACGAAGACAGGTTTAACGAGGTAGGAAAAAATGTTTCCAATAAATTACGAGATTTACCTCCTGATGCTGCTTTAATGGCGGAAAAATTTATATCCGATATTCTATTTGAAGCTGCACTGGGACACATTTCAAGACATACCAAAATGTCGCTAACAGAAAAAATGTCGGGAAATAGGTTAGCACAAGAGTTTGCTACAAACCCTATTAACGTAAACTACCATAATCAGTGACATGATAGTTCAAGCTCCCATCAAACTGATTTGGATTACGGAGAAAACTACCAAGCTACATCTCAGATACTACTATCCTCCAATGATGCAAGATCCTTTTGGAAAATTTTTTACCTAAGTATTAATAATTAGTTATACAGGATGTATGTAAATATCTTTAAAAAGTTCTATTTTTTTGTTGTATTTTTAGAAATGAATTTGTAGTTGGATACTTTTATCGCCCTTTTAAAGAATAAATAATATTTTCTTACCTTTAAGTAATGGTGTTTTAAAACAGAATATATAGCACTGCACTTTTCTGGTATAATTTGCCCAAGGGCCTGTAGCAAGAAATCTTAGTGTGGCGGTGAGACGTTCATGTGGTGAAATACTTCGTCTCATTACGGTATCTTGTTTTTCTATCAGAGAGCAGTTCCAAATACGTTTCTTCGTCCATCCGCAGGTAATTAAACCAATCTCCCGGTTCTAATCGTAATTCATTCAAAGATTAACATGTGAAAATTGTCTTCGCTTGAGTAACCATTCTTTAACCATTTGGAACGTTATTTTTTATAATTATTTTATTTTAATAGCAACTACGGCCGCCACTGCTAACGTCATCGTAAAATCCAACACCAATGATTTTTGCCCGCAATTTCAAACAAACTAAACGAAACATACAGAACAACGCGTATGTGTGGGGGGAAGTCGTTCGTGTTTAACCGTGCTGTTTTACCCGTGCGGGTAAAATTGCTAAAAAAGAACGACGTCTGTGGGGGCCTTTAGAATTAGAGACGCGTGTTTACTTTTTGTACTTTTGGTATTCATCTTTTTCGTGTTGTGTTTTGTAGTGTCAATATATTGTTGAGTTTCGGACTTGTTTGAATATCCCGAATTGACCATTTCCTACAACAAGTTATCGGCACAGACATGCCGTGTATATAAGAATTCGGGAGTCGTGAAAGTTAAAATATACGTTAAAACGTAGTCGAAAGAAAAAGCAATGCCAAGTTATTTGGGAAAGTTAAGGAGTTTGGCACAAAAACGAACGCAACAAATAGTGATGGCAGAAGGATTGCAAGTCGTGAAGTTGAACGGAGAAAATTGGACACTTTAGAAATTTCAAACATTGGTGTGTTCAAAATCCAAGGGACTGTTTGAAGTTGTTAACAAGATTGCTGTAAAACCGCCTGGCGACGAAACGGATAAGAAAGTTACAGAATGGATTATGAAAGATGCAAAGGCCCAAGAAGTAATTGTGTGTAGATTAGAAGAAAAGCCCCTTACCCATGTGTTGGCATGTACTACAGCAGCGGAAATGTGTCAAAAATTGGATCTCAGATAAGTGTACATTTATTTAGCAGCAGAAGTTTTTTGGCTTGGACTATGGCGAAGGTGGCATAGCTGGGTTGATATCGAAAATTGAAGAAATTCAAGGAAATTTGAAATAAGTGATAAAATGGCAATCACAAAGATACTTATGTCTCTACCTGAAAGTTTAAAGTACTTTGTTTCATCCTGGGAATCCATGCCAAAAGACAAACCAAGTTTGTCAGAACTGATGTCAAGATTGTTAGTAGAAGAAGAAAGAAACAAACCTAGTGGTTCAGGGACAGCTTTAGTCACAAAAACATTTAAGCCAAACAAGTTTCAACAATAATGTGATAATGATATGTTTTCAGTGCAATAAAAACGGTCATATAAAGAAGAATTGTCAAGAGAAGACCAAGAAAATATGTCACTGCTGCAGAAAAGAGGGACACGTAATTAAGGACTGTTGGTTTAACAAAAATAAGAAGAAAAAGGAAGAAGGTGGTAATCCAGAAAGCGATGAAAAAATGCAAATGTTACACAAGCTTTAGTAGGAGTATCCTATTTACTAAATTGCACAGAAATATCAGCTTTGATTGAAGAGTCAAATGATGGATATGACTGGTGGCTAGATAGTGGAGCCACAGAACATATGTGTTTTGATAAGGAAAGTTTTATAGAAATGCGAGAACTCCAAGAAGTAAAAGGAATTGGAAAAGCGGAAGTTCGAGAACGGTCATGACTTGATAAAAACAAATTTATGTGAAGTTTTGTTTGTACCTGACCTTGAGGTAAATTTATTTTCATTGAGTACAGTTCTAGATAAAGGGCTAATGATGCAGTCTAATAAACAAGTGAGCGAGTTTCGAGAAAAAAACGGACACGTGAGGGCAGTTGCTCAGAGAAAAGGACGACTATATCGAATGAAGTTTAAACCTCCACTATGCAATGGCAAACTGGCATCGTAAACTAACCCACGTCAATTTTGATCAAGTAAAGAAGGTACTGAGAAGGAATGAAATAAAATACAAGGATGTTGCCAACCCATTTTGTCAAGATTGTTTGGCAGGAAAGAAGCACAGGCTGTCATTCTCACATAGTGAGTCACGAGCTAAAAAAATAGGAGAGCTTATACATGCTGATTTGGAAGGGCCTATTGAAGTAACATCACTGGGAGAGGCAAGATATTTTTTGATGCTGAAGGATGATTTATAGATATAGAATATAGAATTATAGATATGTTTATTTCTTAAAGAATAAGTCAGAAGCAGCAGAGAACATCAAGAATTATTTGAATATGGTATAAACGCAAACAGAGAACAAAGTTAAGAAGTTACGAACAGATAACGGTTTGGAATTCATAAATTTAGAAGTGAAAAAATTGTTAAACAATAAAGGAATGCTTCATGAAAGGTCGTGTGAATATACTCCCCAGCAAAACGGCCGAGCAGAGAGAGAAATGCGAACCCTTGTAGAAGCCGCTAGAACGTTATTTGGACAAAAATCTGTGGGCAGAAGCTATTAATACTTCAGTTTTTGTGTTAAATACAAATTGGATGTAGTTCCATTGCGAACAAAATACCTTATGAGCTTTGGTTTGGCAAAAAATCCGACATCAATATGTTTCAAGAATTTGGTTCCAAAGTAGCAGTACACATAATTAAAAACAAAAGAAAGAAATTGGTTTCAAAGAGCAAACTTGGAATTTTGGTAGGATATGGACAGACAACTAAAGGGTATCGTATTTTATGTCCACAAAGAGGGGAAGTAGAAATCCACAGAGATGTAGTGTTTATAGCGGATAGTGAGGCTGACAGAAAAGAGAAGAAAAATGAAATTAACGTAGTTTTGTTAGATTTAGACACAGACATAAACAGTGAAGATAAACCAATACAAGAATCAGAATGTGAAATAGACAAAGAGAACGAAGAAGAAGGAAAAGAGAAAAGTTAGAAGACCAGATTGGATGAGAGACTATGATGTAACCTTCCACACCGAAACAGAAGAACCTATAACCTTCGGAAAGAATGCGATGGAACAAGAATTGGCAATGCTTCGTGAAAACAATACGTGGACTGAAGTGCCTTGGCCCGTGAACGAAAACGTCATAGATAGTAAGTGAGTGTTTAAAAAAAAAGGTAACCGAGAATATAAAGCAAGACTTGTTGCGCGCGGTTTTCAACAAGGAAGTGATCCTGAGTTGTATGACATATATGCTCCTGTAGCAAAGTTAGCAACTTTCCGCATCTTACTGGTAGTGAGCAGCAAGATGGGTAGACCAATACACCAAATGGATGTGAGAAGTGCTTTTTTGTATGGTATATATATATGGTATGGTATAGAAGAACAGGTATTCACGGAAAAATAAAAGTAATAGTAAAACAGTATGTAGGCTAAATAAGTCACTGTATGGTCTAAAAAATTCTCCAAAATGTTGGAACAAAAAATTTGACTCTCTCATGCGAAATTAAGGTTTTGAAGAGTCACAGAATGATTATTGTTTATACTTTAAATTGAATAAAAACAACAAATCATTTGTATTGTTATATGTAGATAATATTTTAATATTATGTACAGATGATAGTGTGAATTAGATAGGTTAAAGCTAGTTTTAAATGAAAATTTTCATTTGAAAGATTTAGGAGTTATTTCAAATTACTTAGGTATAGAAGTTAAACAGAGACTAAATGAGGGACTGTAAATCCATTAACACTCCTTTAGGCAGTAATATAGATTTGAAAATTTTTAAATGTGAAAAAGTTGACCTGGCATTGCAAAAATTATGCAGACGTATTGTGGGAAGTTTAATGTACGCCGCAATTGGGTCTAGACCTGATTTATGTGAGAGCATTAATTTGTTAAGTCGATTTCAAGACAAAGCAAACGAAAACTTATACAAAGCTTTAAAAAGGGTATTGCGTTATGTGCAGGGCACACTAGATTTAAAACTAATGTTTAAGCCAGATGACAAGAATTTGTTAATAGGATATGTTGATTCCGATTGGGGTGGAGATACGATTGATCGCAAATCCACCAGATATTTAATTGTACTATTGCCTGGGCCAGCAAGAAGCAGCAAACAGTATCATCAACAGAGTCAGAATACATAGCGTTGAGTCTGGCAGTAACTGTAGCATGTTGGCTGAGAAAAATACTGTATGATTTTGATTTTCATGTCGATAGCCCAACAACAATATATGAAGACAATCGATCAGCAATTTGTATAGCTCAAATTCCTGAAAACAATAAACGAGTAAAACATATTGATGTTAAGTTTTACTTTATCAAAGAAAACATCGATGATGGTATTGTAACTGTAACATGTGTTAAGAGTGAAAATCAACTACCAGATTTATTTACAAAACCATTACCATACGTAAAATTTAAAACGTTACGTATGGGTTTAGGTTTAGAATAGAAAAGCTAAAATAAGTTATTTGTTATGTATCATAACCTTGTAAGGAATAATTTTATTGAGAGGGCGTGTTGGTAATCGTTAAACGAACCAATAAAATATATCCTACATCTATGGTCCGAACAACGAATGCAGACTACGGTCTAGTTAAGAAGGTTAGGTTATGTTAGAATTAGAGACGCGTGGTTACTTGTTATACTTTTAATATTCATTATTTTCGTGTTGCGTTTTGTAGTGTCAATATATTGTTGAGTTTCGGACTTGTTTGAATATCCCGACTTGACCATTTCCTACAACGTCATTTCTTATAAACGAAATTTTAAACTCGCGCATGCGCATGTTGAAAGGGCGTTCTCAACTTTCTTTTTTTATGATTGCTTCAAAAGTTCCTATACTATCAACATAGGCAGGACTTCAATACCTTTAGTATCT